TTGCAAAAATAAAAGCATTTAGCAGGGTTCAACCAAGCACTGCAGGTACGCACACTCGACCTTTGAGATGATGTTGTCTTTTTTTTTTTTTTCCCTTCCATCCCGTCGAGCCTAATGTAGGGGAACAAATGGAGCTGGTTGCCTCTCGCACGCTCGAGAGAGCGCCCGCCACGGGGAAACAATTACGGCCCCTCTCGATCCCTTTCGAGAGCTAAACTTTTCCTGGACGAATCAAATTGACGCGTTACATCAAGCTTGTAAGAGGTGCCCGTGTATGGTTGCTGGTTCGGGACGGAATTGCGTTGATGAAAAAAAAAAGAATTTCACGTTCCAAGATCGAGACGATAAAATATCGTAAAACGTTGTATCCCTATGTGGAAACTTTTCTCGGGAAAATGCAAAAGTATATACACCATGCAGCGAAAGGAAAGAAAAAAGCGGTCAGAGCACACGAGAGGCACTCGAAATCGAGGGTACATAACCGAGTAAAGTGCGGAGCGCGCGAAAATTCCATTTTCCCCGAAAGCGGAGATGACAAGGTTCGCGAGCTGCGAGGAGATGGAGGGAAAAAAAAAAAAAAAAAAAAATTGAAAAATTGCTTCTTCCTTCCCGGTTCTCTACGACGTATCGAGGAGTAGACCCGGTATTCCCGCGGGAGGGGAGTCAGTCAAAGCTCCGGGTACCTACAGCCTACACACACACACAGGGGTAGGCGCCGCTAAGTGGATATATACCCTGGCGGAGGCATATCAGCCAGAAATCCGCTGCTGCTGTACCAAAATATAATATACCTTGCACGCTCTATTGAACGGAACAGAGAGAGAGGAGATCCGTATATACATATAGTATATATAGTCCGACACGCTTTTTCACGGCAAAAGCTCCAATCGAATTCCCCGGGGGAAGGACACGACAAAGGGAGAATTTGGGTTAAGCTCGCATTCTTCGGTGGCCATTGTTTTACCTATCAGGTACATGTATACGAGGAACAACGCGTTTTAGTTACACCTCGCGTATAATGTATAATGCATGAAATCCATATCGATGTCCACTCGGGCTCTTTAAAAGTGCATACATGATACATGTATCTCTCGTAGGCATTAAATAGGCACTGCGCAATTATAAGCGGTCGATGGATGCGTATAGTCCGCACATGTACGTACAGGAGGAGGTACAGTTTCCCCAACAGTTTTAATACATCCTGTATGAACCACCTACGCGAACGCGAACTACGCACTTGTATACGAGTACAAGAAGGATTAGGCGAGCCGTGGCTCATGAGGGAATGATGATTTCGAGGGTTTTCCGTGCGCGGGCACAAAAAGCCGCGGATCGCATCAAAGTCCCATCGAGCGAGCACGAGCACACGTAGGTGCGGCGGTAGGGGAAAAAAAAATTGGGATTTAAAGCTAGCTCGCTTTTTTTTTTTTTTTTTTTTTTTTTTTTTTTTTTTTCTTTTGTGAGAGATGTGACGTAAGGGCAAGGCGGGGGGAGACTCTCGCGATGGATCTCTTTATCCTCGGCGAGGAAGGCGGGCGCACAAAAGGTTCCAAGATTACAGGGCCGGGCAATCCCCTCCTCTGTGTGTGTATGTGTTGGCGATGTTCGAGAGACACGATGACACGCGCTCTCCTTACTATTATTATTATTATTATTACCACCGAGTAATATGGTCCCCTTGTGCGGACACGCTGGTTACATATATACGTACTTACTTGCGTCGAAATCTTGGGATTCGGTCAGAATACGTGTACAAAAATGTAATCAGCTCTCGATGGAGATCGCAGACCGATACGTACGATTTTTTTTTTTTTTTTTTTTTACAATTGCGTTAAAGGATCGAACGGCAGGTGGTGATTGGAAAAAAAAAAAAAAACAGATTGCTCGTTATTTGTTGATTGTGTATTTTTCAGTAGTTAACACTCGTTTTGTGCACACTTATACATCAGAGTCGGTTGATAAACAAATAAAATCATAGTAAGTACAAAACAATAAAAATAGAAAAGAAAAAAGATTTACAATTTTATTTTTTTCTACATAACAGAGTAGTCGTACAATGATGCGGTAAAGTAACATTTCGACCCGAACGCTTAAGGTATACATATCATGCTCCACTCTCGATTTTCTATCAAGTAATCGTACGGCGATTCTTTTTCGCAATTTACACATATGTATATATATATTTCTTTTTTTATACAAAATAAAATTATCTCCGTTCGTATACGTGTGAACGCACGAAACAACTTATATCCTCGTATTTACAATAAACCCTTAAACATAATCTTATGCGGTATAGAATATATAATTGTCATGTACATCGTGGGTCGCCAGAACATGCCGGTTTTTCGCTGAACTTGCCGATTTTTCACCTTCTTTCTCGTTAACAATAAAACAACAAACCAAAGCGTCCGCTTGATTTCACGTACTCAACAATTCTCATGTACATGCATGTCGTACCGATGATAGGTGTACTTGGGTAATCTCGCAATCTCGGGTCACGTGTGTGAAATACGCAAAAAAGGGAAAAAAAAAAAAAAAATGAAGCGATCTAATCGAAAAGGGAAAATGACAGAGCGCGGGGCTTTTCCGACACAATATTTTTTGCACCTCGAAAGCATTATGGTATACAATACGATTGCCATGTGCAATACGCGTACGCGGGCACGGTATACATATACGTTATAATAATAAGTATACGGCAAATGTGTGGCATTACAGCCATACCTGGCCATATCTGGGTAAGGATCGCGTGCATAATCATCCCTGTGTACGCTCTTTGAGAAATAAATTGTCGGCGACTCAATGGCACCGTACACGCGTTGTTACGGGCCTCACCTTCTCGACGATTTATTTTTATCATTGTGATTTTTTTTTTTTTTCCCACAAGCTCTAATAAAAAAAAAAAAAAAAAAAAAAAAAAAAAAAACTATGTGGCCTTTGGATTCGCGCGTGGAAAAGACGAGGACTCCGTGACCGGAGGAGCTTAACCGCGCGCGCGAGTGAAAATTATAGCGACAGGTGGATATTCGCTTCAACGTATAGGGTTGTATTAGGGCAGGCCTTTTTTGTCCGCCGTGTTATAGGTGCCAATTTGTGCGGCCGCGTTACGTTGAATGGCTAACGCGACGCGATTTATATTACGGGTAATGAGGGACAATGTTGCATGTACGGACGAGGTTGCGTTTTTTCTCGAAATAATGTAGTTTTTTTTTTTTTTTTTTTTTTTTTTTTTTTTCCAATAAAAACCAAGCTTTTAATTTGACTTTCGAGTGATGAAATAAACGCGCGGTGTGTATTGAACGCGAGATATTTTGGGGCTTTCGCGGTGTCGTTGTGCGCGCAGAAGCGAGTAACTTTGATTGACGCTCGCCGATGAAATGTGAACCTAAATAAAACTCATAGGTATACTCTGTAAGGTATTAATTTCGGTCGAGGGGCAATTTACGTATAACTTAATCTCTACCGATAATAATCAGATTTTCGCTCGTTTGACTAGAATCGCACCCGTACTTTGTTCCGTACACGATGTATACAGAACAGTAATGCAGAAATAAAAATGCAAAGAAAAATACAATCTTGAATTGTAATCGAGTCTACCTACAACGAGAGTGACTGAGAGCTTATCGAAAGTGACTAGAAATTTTTCGACATTTATAACTTTTTTATCAAACAGATTGGAATATTTTTTTTTTATTTTACTATGTTTAATAATGTTGCCAACACCTAAAATTTTTGTTCCACCAGATTATCCGAGACTAGATTTATTTTTCTTATTTGTTAAAAACACCATCGTAAGTGATCCTTAATTATCTTTGACATAATTAGCTGTATGAGTCTGCCGACAAGTTTTAATGTTTGTATTGTTATTATTATTACTATTACTATTATTATTATTATTATTATTATTATCATTACAAGTAGTGGTAGCATTACAATAGTGATTGAAGTACACGTCAAGCTTTCCATTTATTCTACGACTAGACAACGCATAGACGACTAGGATGATGATAAAAATCGACTATTGGCTTGAGAACTTTGGATAACATTACGTTTGAGATCATTGTGAGCCGCTGCTTGTTATCATTATACTATTCATTGAAAAAAGGCAAAATCAAATCATCCCCGTGGATAAACAAATCTCGTGAGATTTTTTTATTTACATGCATTGTATTTTCTTGTATTTTAATTTATAAGTACTCATCGACATACAGATACGGAAAAAAAAAATTTAATCAAAGAACGCCACAAACAGGTAGAGATTTGATTTTGCGTTTTCTCAAGGTATCAACTACACCCTACACCTTACGCAAAGTATCATGTGGCCTATCTCTAAGTACTACGCTACACGTTTCAGTAAGATGCGCAATAATATGTACAAACGCGAAGCGCATCGTTATCTACACATTTACACATAATCGAGAGTCCCAATGAAATACTGATAGACTTTGTTTAATTTGTGGCGCTTTTTTCCTCCACCTCCTCGCCAACGATGAAACGAACTTTACATATATAATATATACTTATTAGGTACACATATACCTATACACCGTTTCCTAAGTTACGGCGACGCGCGCGCCTCTTTCCGTAATTTATATTCCTTTGGCAAATAAAGCTGAGAGTTCCCTTACACGCTACTACACATCGTCATCCTCGTCATCGCGGGTAAACGATGTTATTACAATATATTGTGTTGTATCCGAGAGACTCCGTCCCATATACATATAGTGACTAGATTTTGGTTTCGCGAATCGCGTAGATCTTCGATTTTAGCTACATATCACAACGCTCGCAGAGAGACAAACGGGGGAAAAAAAAACAAACAAATTATGGATGAAAAAAAAACAAAAAAAAAAACAAAAAAAAAACGAAAAAAACCATGGTGGTGCTTACAAGAGACCGCCCGGGCCGGTGAGCTCGGCTTCGTGCCAGACCCTCCAGATGCCAGCGAGGGGCGGCGGGGGCAGTCTCCGGATGGGCATCGGTCGGGCCGGAAAGCTACGTCAGGCCACTTCCATGGTCGGGGCAGCGTTACCGCTCGGCGATGGCGGCAGCACCACCTTGTCGACCTGGCTGTTGTTGTTGTTGGGCTCGGTGGAATCGGCGGGCGGGTGGTGGCTGGCCACGTGTTTCCTGAGGGCGACGGGCTTGGCGAACTTGGCCTCGCACCTCGTGCAACTGAGCGCCCCCTCGTCGGCCCCCCTGGGCTTGGGCTTGTGCCAGCGCCGGTGGCTCGCCAAGTTGGCCGGACAAGTGAAGCGCTTGTCGCACTCGGGACACCGGTAATCGACGTTGCGGATCCGGGAGCAACGGTGCTGGGCCAATTGAAACGCGTCCTCGTGCAATTGCCGGCACAGCATGCACTGGTACGGGCCGAGCTTGTTCTCGATCTTGGCCAGCTTGGCCCGGGCCTCGGGGCTCACGTTCACGATGTTCAGCGACGGATCGATGTCGGCGCACTCGCCCTCCAGCTCCCCCGACAGGGCGGCCTCGTCCTCCCCGATGATCACCGTCCCCGAGACCGGGCTGCTCTTGTCCTCGTCGAACTTGAGCTTGCGCGCGTGCTTCTTCTTGGCCCGAGCCGGCTTGCCCGCCGCCACGGGTGTCGTCCCCGGACTCGCCACCAACGAGGACGACGACGACGACGACTTGGACCGCTTGCCGGAGCACTGCGGCTGGGGCGGCGACGGCGTGCTCGGCGGCGTCAGGGCGTGGGTGCCCTGCAAGTGATGGTGGGGCGGTGGCGTCCGCTGCAGGAGCTGGTGGTAGTGGCTTTGTTGCTTGTGATGGCTGCTGGGACTGAGCAGGAGATCGGTAGACGAGTAACCGGCCACGCCCATCTCCTGGGCTACGCGAAGCCGCTCGGCCTCCTGGTGCGATATGGCGCCCATGATCGGGGACGCGTGCTGGCGCTGGTGTTGCGCGGAGCTACTGTGCGCGGAGGAACAGCTGCGCTGGCTGTTGAGCTCGTCGTCGTCGTCATCGTCGTCGACCACAACCTCGTCCTCCTCGTCGTTGTCCTCCTCGGGCGCCGGGGCGTAGTGGCGTTGATGGGTCGTGGCCTCGGCGCGGCAGTCGACCTCGATCGGCTGCCAAGGATCCCCGTTGCCGGTCGGCTTGATCGACAAGTCGAGCGGCGGCGGGGTGGTCGAGCTGCTGCTGCTGCTGCAGTTGCTGCTGTTGGTCCAGGCGAGGCGCGCGTACGGGTTGGTCTCCTGGGGGCTGAGCGAGGGCGCCGGGGGCGGCAGCTGGTCCGCGTAATCTACAACGGCATCGGCGTACGACTGAAAGATCGGTTGGTGGTGGTGGTGGTGGTGGTCGGTGCCGCCGATGAGGGTAGTGCCCCTGTAGTAGTTGTCGAAGCTGAAGCCGCCCATGGCCAGCGGGACCAGGTAGGCCCGGGGTGGCGGTGCGCTGTGCAGCATGACGGTGCCTCGGTGTATCGGGCGACTCGGGAGATTGGTCGGTGATCGGTAAGCGCCAGTGAGGTAGACGCGGCGTTGCGTGCAGGGACGTGCGGCTGTGGCGGTGGCCAGACGCCGAATGGGTACGACCGTTAGGAGCGGCTGGCCGAGTTTAATTCCCGCGCCAGGCCGACACTCCGGAGCTCCGCCCCGAGCTTACGGGGGGAGCCGACGATTCGTCCTACTCCCACTCGACCGACGCGCACCACCTTGTTGTTGTTATATAGCTTGCGCGCTTTGCTCTCTCGGCTCTGCACCGGTGGGGAAACTCTGATGGGCTGCGCCTGCGTATACAAGACTACCCTACCCCCGCACGGCATACATCCTTACGGACGCGGGACACCTATACATTGTGATGTCTCGAGGGTGCGGCGGACGACTCGAGGATACATATATACCTGTGTATGGAGGTGTACGGAGAGGTGGTGCTGGTCGTGGTGGTGCGCGCTTGGAAATTCGCACGGAGGAGGCTTAAACGCTCGCGGGAGGCGGACTCTGCACACGGGCCGGATCTGCGTATCTCTCATGTAGGAGGCGTGGAGGCTGCACGAGCAAATTGACTCTCTTGTCTTGGCGCGTGAGCGCTTAATTTTTTTCTATTTTTGTTTTGTTTCCTTCGTATAGTTTTTAAAATCTCTTTGTAGCAATAGATATATACAGCTCGTTTTCCAAAGACCCGATGCTGCAAAGAAGTAAGGTTCATTTATCCATAGAATGGCTATTTAATGGAGAGGTATATATAACGGGAGCGGCAAAGTGATTGCAGAGTATGAATGGGTGCAGAGCAGCAATGAAAACGTAATCCAACAACCAAGTACGGACAAGAGCGTTCTGAGCTTTCGGCTAAATGATTATGTACGCTAAACGGGAAACGGCGAGCTTTTCTTGCATTGGAATCAAGATGAGTCGTGTAAGGAAAAATCATCGAGAAAAATGCCTTACGTATTTCGAGAGTTGAAAAGCACCGGGTAAGTATTATATACATGAAGGTAGTAGGTACGGGCCCAACATCGGGCAAAAGAGGGGGAAAAAAAGAGGGAGGAGCGGCGCTCTAATCCTTTGAGCTGCTTAGCTAATTACTGCGTGTACCAGCGGCGCGTCGCACACGCTCGCAGTGGTGATAGCGGGAGGATCGGGGAGTAGGCGCGTTAATAATTTCGCGGCTGCCGATATTCTATTGGTACATGGCGTGAATGACACGCGCTGGGACGTCGGCGCGTTCATCTCAGGTTGGGAAAAGGAGGTCTCGTAGGAAAAAAAAAAAAAAATTGGTTTTCATACATACGTTGATTAATTATTTCATTTTTTACTGGTTAAATTGCGCTTGATGCATATTCCTTGTACCTGATGACAGAAAATTCACTTTTCTCTGGTTTATTTCAAGCCTGAGGGACAATTTTTTTTCGGATGCTTTTCTTACTAAAATTAGGTACGCAATCATATGAATTTTCGTACCATTACGCGTCACATTTAATATAACCAATGCCATTTTTCACTATGAATGAGGAAAGAATAATTTTTTACTTTTCGGGTGATCCGCGAAATGAATCAAAATGAAACAGCGCAAGCAAACTGATAATACTCAAACAAACGAATATTTTATTTGCAAGTATCGTAAATCTCGCAATTGTTTTGAACAAAATGAGCTTTTATGGACACAAAAATGTTGTCATTCGTAAAATGTTATTTACAAAGACACAGCAACAAAGTGGGTTAAACAGTCATCAGCGACTGAAACCCGAGCGCAAAATACGTGGGAGGGATGAATTTATTAAAACGTACAAAGTAGCCATTAAAACAGTCGGCTATCGGTGGCTTGGTTGGTAAAAAAGCTGGAAATGGGCCAACGAGAGCTGCGAGGAAAAACGAGAAAGGTTTTGCGAAAGTTCATAATCCGATGGGGAGGAAAACCGGTAATGCGCGAGGGACGAGCGTTTGCGGGCGGACACCATTATTGAAATGAATTTGAAGCTGCAAACGCGACCAAAGCGTAAACAAACTGCAGCAGCGCGCTAATGGCCGATAACAAATATTTACGGGCATAAGCTCCCGCAGCGCGTAATGGACCGCCGCATATTAGGTGGGAGATGGGGGTAGGCATTAATCCATAACAAAATGCTGTTACTCGGGAGTTTCGATGAACCCGCGATAGATCCGGATTTTCCCTCGCGATTATTCATTTGTGAGGAGCAACACTCCCGATTGGGTACGAAATTTTAGGTCACGCGCTTCGACCGTTAAATGTAACGTTCAAATGCGTGATTGCACTTTTGGTCCATTGAACCTGTATGTTTCCGTACTGACTTTTTTTTGCCAAGCACCACTATTGCGGATACATGTGGGAGTACCTTCTATTTTTGCCAGAAGAAATATTGTTAGCTTCCTTCAGCTCCAACGATTGAGCTCAGATCTGGTGGTGGACATTTTTAGCCTTTTATCCTGAACTCCGAAAAAAAAAAATATGTTTGTTTGAAGTTTTGCACAAAATGTTCCAGTATAAGCTGGAGATCTCTTCGGGTTACATAGGATTTTCTCCATCAAGAAATCAATTGATGGCTTCACATGACTAATAAGAAAACAAAAAAAAAATTCGTTTAAGACCATTAACAGTTCTGTGACAAAGTGGCGAATAAAAAAAGTGTTCGTACCCCCCCAAAAAACGTGTTGTTATATATGCTCAAGAATATTGAAAAAAATTTTAAAAGAGCAACGAGTCTTTTCTTCAATTAAAGAATTTTTTTGCTTTCGTGTACAAGTAGATTTACCTCAAACTTGATTTTGAACTTCATGTGACAATGAATAATTTGAAGTTGGCAATGATATAAAAAAAAAAAAAGAAAAAAGAAAATTTGGGTAAAAGCAGTGCAAGAATTCTATAGGAACAGAATGAAAAATTCATACACCTACCTATATGTACATATGTGGCGGCTCCGACTTCACAGCCGAGCAAGCGCAAGCAATCTCTCGTTCCACGCGACATCTTCATTAATCGAGGCTCGGGATGTGCCGCTAGTTAAGCTGGCAACTCCTCGACCAGCAAGTTAGTCAATAAATGAACCTTTACGTTTAACACAGCCAAGTGTGGTCGAGCTTCTTGCACCCCGTGCTACCACCCTCCTATCCTCGGGTAAGCACGAGCATACCCAGCGGTTCCCAAACATATACCGATACTTGCTAAACTTCCGGGCAAACGAAAAAGCAAGTAATGCGGGTAAACTCGCGCGCACAGAGGTATGTTGCATAAAATAATGTCTACCGTCCGGCGAGTATACTTACCGAAATACCCGAATATTCCCGAAATGTGTGTACATGAACACAACCGTGTATTATGTATAACAGAGAGAAAGACAAAGTCACTCTCGCAGCATCAGCGGGGCCCGGAGAGCCCCCCGAGCACGCCAACATGTAGCTCAAGCGGCTTTCCACCCGAATCCGCGCGCGCTTGCATATAGACTCTTGCATATTTCAAGAGATTTTAATGTGTCTCTCTATGCCCATCTCCCTCTCTCTTTCGGTGGGTTGCAGGTGTACCAGCGGAGCTATCTTGTCTCTCTCTCGAAGAGCTTCCACGCTAATCGGCTTAATATCTGCGGTGCTCTCGCCAACCGCACTGGCAGCAAAGTGTTGTATACCTATGTAGTGTGTGCCTTTGCTCCCTGTACATGTGTGGTACCCAGAGCAGAGAATTCTGATGATGATGATTTTATGTGTCTTTGCTCCAGGGTTTTAAGTACCTTTGCAGTTTTTTTTTTTTTTTCCCCAGAGGATCTCAGTTTTTACTCCGACACGTACGGGACCAGCTGTCAAAGTTGACAGTTTTTTTTTTTTTTAATTTTTCCAACTTAAAATATGATACAATGCTAATATTTGGCAAAGTAATCCAGGAGACACCTGTGTTTTACGCGTCTTACAATACGTTAAAAAGAGTTTGCACAGCATATAATTAACTCTTACCATAAAAACCACAAAAATCTCGAGACATTTTTAGGCACAAATGCTTTACCAGCGTAATTTATATCTACGGGGGAGTAAAAAATACAACCACGCACGTAGAAAACTAATATATATATAGTTAAAAGATGAAACAACTTTTAACGCAATGTGTGGATGATGTGATCCATTTGTATGTATACGTTATCAAAATTATTTCAGGTATAGTTCATGTACAACCCAATATGTATACTTTTCTTCTTCTTAATATTAAGCTCTTAAGAAAAATAAAATTTTCATAATCCACAACTGTTGGGTTTATCAAATAATTATTACGAATAGTATCTACTTAGCTATGCTAATTGACGTGGAGAAATTTTTTTTATATGGGAATTTGAAAAGAATATAATTTTTTTTTTTCTAGAATCGATGTAAAATATATTGAACAACTCTGTATGACTTTAAAAAATATGTTTACCACTTTATCCATAACGAGTTCTTGAATTTTTCCACATTTCCAGATGCGTTTGGTTGGAAAAAACTTTTTTTTTTCCAAAGCCGTGCTTTGAATAAATATTTTTTTTTCCGTAAAATTTATCACACGGAATGCCAGCCCAGCCTTTTCAAATGTGTTTACAGAGTGCACATCATGGGCACGCAGGACTCGCCAGCAAAGAAAACGACGGGCATTGGATAATAGATACGCATGCAAACACGTGTCCGATAGCCGAAGGCCAGGATGTGCATTACTGGATAGAATTACATTAAACATCGACGACGGGTCGTATAGCTAAAGTACGGGGCTACGAGCGATAGACGGCGGCTATTGTAATGCGTCCCTCGTGTTTTTCTGCTTTCAGTGACCACGTTAGGTATATATGCATGCAGCTGCCGTGTATGAACGTACATATGTATATTTACAATGTCATTCCTCTGGAGCTTTATTATGTCTCGTGCGGAGTAATACGAAAGGGTGTGGGGGTGTTTGACAGATAAGAGGTGGAATGCGCTTTTAAATGGGAGACTGTAGTGTTTACTAATACAACCAATTTTATGTTATGAAAAATAATTAACTGAGTTTTTTTTTTGTCAAAATATTATTAAGTATTTGGATAGCTCAAAAAGTCACTAAGAACATACAAGTCGAATTTAAACAAATCATCAAATGAAAATAAAGTCAAGTGAATCATAATCTAGCTCACTTTTCAAACAAAAGGATAAAAAGATAAGGTCCAACTGTTCATTATATTATTTTGTACAAATATGCATAGGCTTAAATTTAAGAATCGACGATACGCGGTCTGTTATTTACAAGCAGATAATGTAATACTTAACAATATTTAAAATCAATTATATCTCAATGGAAAGACTAAAATAACTTCTTGCCTGGTTTTTTGTCGTTAATCTTGGGTTTTTTCGACGTCGTTGGCGTCTGCTGACTCGGTATTATTTTTCTCTTACGCTGTTAACAATCATAAAAAATTTTCATTTATTTTTTAATTTTAAACCGATTGATTGATGATACAACAATATTTCTATTTCTCACCTTGTTCGAATCTTTGGCAGGAGTATCATTTTCTTGCTCCGAATCTACCGGAGGATTGGCTACCTTAGGGCTAATGTGTTCAAAAACAAAGTTCTTTTTACGATTAGAAATGACTGGCATGTTCGACTGAGGTAAATTTTGAGCTATTCGATGTAGTGCTGCTTCTCCTCTTGCCAGGAATGACCCTCTTGGGTTAGACTGCCAAGAAGATGTTATTATACTTTAATTTTACGAGAAAAGAAATTTTTATTTTAAAATATTTATTTGCCCTTACAAATGAAAAGCTGTTCTTGGTCTTAATTGATTTGTTCGAAACAACTTTGATCATATCACTCGTCGTGACAGTTTTGTCAACATCAGAAGTTTTTGTCATTTTTTGTTCTGTGACTGAAGTCTTACTAGAACGAACGCTAACAACTTTCAAACTAGATTTCATAAATTCGCTGTCAGCAAAATCATCTTCTATTGTTTCGACGATTTTTTGCTGAAATTTTTAGGTAATTTACACATCAACTTTACGTATTATTTTGAGTTTATAATAATACCTCATTTTCTTCTAAAAACTTTTGCTGCTCGTATCTCAACTTTCGCATTTGAACTTCCATAGAGGCGTCCACTTCATCATCGAAATTTTCAATGTTGTCTTCCAATTTGGAACCTACATTATCATCATCTCCTAAACTATCTGGAAAGTAAATATAAGTTGTTTTATAAAATGGGTTTGCTACATTTCAATAAGTTATGTAAGAGAAATCATAGGCTAGTTCACGCCTCAACTAACCGACATTCCTCCACCTAAATTTCCTTTCGCGACCAGCGCCTTCGCTGTGCAAATCACCATCATCAAAAAGAAGTTCTTGGAGCATTCTAACTTCCCTTTGATCATCATCCAGGACTTGCTTCATGTGTAATTTGTCGAGCTGATGTTTCACTTGAGCTTCGTCGATGTCTTCGGCATCGCCTTCTTCGTATTCTAGCTTGTCCAAATCCCTTTCATCCTCGTCATCAGAGCCCCATTCGCTTTCGCTCAGCTCGGCTTCTTTGTCAAGGAATTTCCCCGCAACTTTTTTTATTTCTTTCTTTGGTATAACTATGACTTCATTCTCATCGGAATCATAGTCAAAGTACTTTTCCTCCTCATCTTCTTCTTCTTCCTCAAACTCGCTTTCCTCTTCCAAATCTGAATATTCGTTGCGTTCCTCGTCTTCGTCGTCCGATAACTCAAGTTTTTGTACTTTTTTCTTTTTCAATTTTTTCTTCTTCATCCGTTTCTTTTGATTTTCGCTTTTTTCATTCTCTTCGTCTGAAGAGGAAGCGATCCTGAACGATGTCCACGGAGCTTTCGGTTCTTCTTCTTCTGTTATTTTTTCTTTCGAGGATTCCGGTTGATTGGGCTTCTTTTGACTCGTGCTCTCAAATAAATCTTGTAAGGTATCTGATTTGTGTACTTGTGATACTTCACTTTCCAAATCTTTCGGGTCTGCTGCTTGTGAAACAAACGCTCCGGAACATATGTCTAACAGCTGTGAATCTGTAACTTCATTCAGATGTTTTTGTTGCGTTTGCATCAGCCAAGCGTCCATTGGATTTTTCGATTTAAAAACAGATTTGACCGTACTTTTGAGAGGACTCTTCGCTGCAGCAGATTTTCGCGAACTTTCAGAGTCATTGTTCGACATCGATTCGTCGCTTGTTTTCTTTAAACTTGTGTTTTTTATTGGACTCTTTATAGACTCCTCCTCAGGGTCTAGAATCAGTGCCATGTCTTGCGACGTTTCGTCACATGGTTGCAGAAAGGTTGATTGACTGACAAAACTACCCGAGCAAATGTCCATGATTTGCGAGTCTGTTACTTCGTTTTGTTTGTCGAACCTCAACGCTGGTTCGGTAGTGTTTTGTGTATCATCGAAATTACCCGAGCAAATTTCTAATAGCTCGTTATCGTGCACCGGATCAGGAGGATCTTCAAATAGTTTCTTCTGCAGACTCATCATTTTTTCTAAACTGAAATTATTTGATGGTCTACCACTGAAATTTCATTAGAAAGCATTGATGAAACATATCGTCAATTTCTGCAATTATACCAGTGCATTGTAATAGATATTTACCTGTTTTCAAAGGGCGTACTGTCGGTAGAAATATTTCCAAGATTAAAGTTAGGCGTCTTAGCATCGGACTTCTTTGCTGAGTCATTATAGGAATTCAGAGCAGTTAAATGAGTTACTGGTGAGATCATACTGAGTATCAAATTACTTTTCGGCAGTGGGGTTTTGCAAGTCTGACTGCTGGCATCGGCATCAAGACGATCACGAATAAACGCAGGACTAGAGTCTTCAACCAAATCCTCGACAACAAAATTACTTTTTATTTGTGAGAGAAATATGTCTTGGTCCATTTTTGTACGCTCGAGCAAATTTTTGGCTTCCGTTGCTTTATTATTCAAACTTGTATCCGAATCGTTTGAATCCTCTTCATCGAACGGTTTTATGATTCTCTTGAGTTTCTTAGGACTTTTGTTCTGAAAATAAATGTATGTTTACTACATTGACAAAAAACACGAGAACAATATACTAATAAAATAAAATTTTACAGTTTCTTCTTCCTCCTCTTTTTCGGATTCCTCTTCTTCATCTTCGTCTTCTTCGTCTTCATCCTCGTTTTCTTCTTTTTCTTCCTCTTCGTCTTCGTTCTCCTCTTCATCTTCATCTACACTCTCCTCAGCTTCTTCATCGCCAAATTCACATTTTGGCCTCTTTTTTTCCACAATAGGCATGTCATCTTCTTCTAGCTCGCTTTCAGCACTCTCCTCATCATCGAACTCCTCGTCATCGTCAGGTAAACCTGCATAGAAATCATCATCTTTGCCATTACCCTCTTCTTCCTCGTTCTCCTTTTCGTTTTCTTCTTTATGCTTCCATTCTTCGTTTTTAACTGAGGAAATTTTGCGTTTTAAATCTTCTTTCAAAATTTTGAGCTTCTCACCCGGCTTGCCTTCTTTCGTGCAGTCATCTTCTGTAAGGGTTTTATTGAAGGGTAACATTTCCTCGACAATGGAGATATCGTTGTCTACACCTTCAGTACGCATGACCTTGACTTCGACTACATTATTTGCATTGTGCTTGTGAACGGCTGAATGACGCGTAAATCTATCCACCAGTTTTGTGACACCTTCCGATATTTGATCAATGCTCGTGAAATCAATCATCGAGCCCGGCAAAGCTTTAATCATGGGTTTTGATTTGAGAGCATTAGCTAAAATTATCTTTTTGAAGCTGGGTTTCTCCTCAAGATCGTCAAATTCCGGTGGCTTGTACAACTTGTCGCTTAACGCATTTTTGTCTATGATGTCGTCCTCGTTATTAGTATCTTTTGGAAATTCTAAAACCATCTCTTCAGTTTCTTCCGTTGAAGTTTTATTGTTTAACTTTTGTTTTTCAATGGGATTTTCAGATGTCAGAGCAACTGATTTATCTGATGCTGATTCGTCTCTATTGTCAACTTTAACTGTTTCTACCACCGTATCTTGATCTTTACTTTCAGATGGTTTTTCATCTGTATTTATAATAATTTCTTGACCAGTACTTTTGTTGGAATCGTTAGGTTTTTCATCTACATTTGGTTCAGTTTCGTCCGGCATCTGTAAAACAAAATCCTCAGTGCTATTTTCGTGCTCATTTTTATTTTCAGCTGCTTTTTCTTTTTCATCAGGATCGACTATAGATTTGGTACTTTCTAAATTTGGTTTGTCCAAAATAGATATATCAGTTTCCCTCCTGTCATTGCATACCTCCATAGCTTCAACATGATCTGCAGTTATTTCATGTGAAGTACAAGATTCTTTTGTTTCAGTTTTAGATTCTTCAATTTTTTTCACAGCATCTGCATCTTTCAACTCTAAATTATTATTCTCGTTTGGCAATGTTTCAGTTTTTGTACTAGATTCTGAATCAATATCGTCATCTAAAAATAGTTTTCTAGGGACTCCAGAATCTGATAATCTTTGTTGCAAAGTTGATAATTTATTTTCATGAGAATCTTGAACACGATCTTGTATTGGGTTTTGTCCATTAGATATATTTATAGGCTCCAAAATCATATCTTCACCATCAATTGTACTTTCACTTTTATTGTCGATTTTCCTATCCGTTTGATCCAATTCTTTCACCAATGGCTTATCACTTTTTTCTTCCTCTTCTTCGGAATCTGATGATTTGTAAAACTCTTCGGCCTCTTTTTCTTTTGCTTGTACAACTTTACTGCAATAAAAAGAAAATATTGAATGTATTTAAAGAAACCTAATGATTACAAAAAATACAAGTTGTACCTGACAACTGCAGATAACATTCTAACTTTCTCGGCACATGTTAAGTTTTGAGGAATGATACCCGAGATTTTCTTTCTGTTCAAAAATTCTTGAAGGGTACGCTGTTTTGGTCTATGATATGGCAATGAAACTTGTGATTCTCTTATCAATCTTTGTGTTTCACTGTGAATTTGTTGCATTGCTGCATCTTTGGATGCTCTGATTGATCCCTAAAAAAATTTTATTAATTCAAAATTCATTGTTTGTTCAATTAAAATTTTAGTAAATTAGGATTTATTACCACTCTTTTTTTTTCTGACTTTTTTTTTCCTCTTTTAGATTTTTCAGTACTGTTTTCTTCACCTGAAGAAGCACCACCTCTACGATCTGATTGATTATCCTTATCACTTTCAGACTCTGAATCTATTAGGTCATTGAATTGATTGGATTTCTAAAAGAATCATAATTTTCTATTTTCGTTCAAGTGTTCGAATTTTCATATTATATGTATATTAGTACAACATCAAATCTTACATTAATTGATTTATCAACTACTTTTTTAATGCCGTTGTTTTTACTTTTTTTATCATCTTCAGAATCACTACTGTCAAATAACTGTTTTTTATTTTTCTGTTTGGATTTTTTGTTAGACTTTTCATGGGTCACTGAATCTGAATCGCTGACGAAACCGCCAAAAGATTTTTTAGGTACAACGATTTCATCTTCAGAATCAGAATCAACGATGCTTAGATACTTCTTGGGCTTACTATTTTCAAGAAGATTAATACTGGAATTCGACTGGCTTCCACCATCTGATTTATCAATAGAAAGCTGACTATTCTTAATTGTCGATTTAGAATTTGAGCTTTCAATTGATGAACGGGAATCATTGTCTTCTGTGAAATCATTGCAAGGGCTCCTACTCTGTTTTTCCAGGGGACTTTTCCTACCTGACGATTGAAAACTAGATCTAGAGTTTTCATCCTCTTGCAATTTATCAGACAAAGTTTGATTGTGCTGAATCGTTGACTTTGTATTTGAGCTTGTAAAAGAAGAACGTGAATCATTGTCCTCTGTGAGCTGAGTGTTTGTGTTTTGGCTTCCCTCAAGTGTACTCCGATTACTATTAGTAACAGGTAAAGTCCTAGTGCTCAATGATTCACTAGATTTTGAATTGTTTTCATCGTCGTCAACAGGCTGGCTGTTTTTCACGGTGGTCGAGGACGAAAGCGAATCTTCATCGTCACCATTTGAGTTCTGACTTTCTTTGAGAGTTGAACCAGAACTTGAGCTTTTATTGTCATCAACATCATTATTACCTTGTAAACTGGGGCCAGTCTCAGTTTTTTGACTAGTACAAGTAGAGCTGGACTGCGTCGAGGAGCAGCTGTCAGTCTTGCTATCCTGAGAACTTTTGCCTTGACTCTGAGGTAATCGACCGTTATCCTCTCCAATGGATAAAATTTCCTTTTCGATTCTCGAATGCTTTTCCGAAATTTCTTGCACTATTTCACTGTCACTGTCACTATTAGATCGAATAGGGCAACCGTCGGGCGACGTGCAGTCTTTCGAAAGAAGACTGTCTCCGTTAACGTTGCACGTGGAGGCAGTAGCAACAACTATTTCGGAGTTCAACTCCATCACTGAACTTTTTTCGACGACAGCGGACTTTGTCGATAAATTATCCAAGATATTGCAAAATATTTTTGATCGTAACTATATGACAAATTAAACCGTATGCTTTTCTTGCTTGTGCACTGCATAAATTGGTGAAGAAAGAAATGAAATTATGTTGATTCGCGCCAAATTTAGGGTGTTTGTAAAGCTACCGCTACCACACTATACCCGCTCGAGTGACCCTGGTGACACGCACACTTTTCTAGGGAATTTTGTGAAGGAATTAGAGATGATATGCGCGGTAAATTATAAATCAGAATTTTTATTTTGCGATTTTGAAAGTGATAACATGATACTCACTCAACTAATGTTAATTTTAAGGATTACCAGTACTTATTTATTTAAAAAATTTTAAATTGTTATTATTTTCTCGGTTTTTCTCTCTTCTAATGCTTCTATATATAGTCTGAGATGAGTGCGCGCGCAGTGGGTTGTAAATATATGAGCATATGTTTATATTATATATTTATATATGTAGGAAGAGCAGTGATAGGTTATGTGTGTTTACTACTGTGTTAATCAAAGTAAAAAATACTTTGTCAGATTGTCAGTTGTTACATTGTTGTTTTTTTATTAGTTTAATCATTATCTCAAGTTGAGCTTCAGAAAAGCTGTTTTGTAGAAATGACGAAAGGTATAGAGGCATAGTTAAAAATTATAATAAACATAAACAATGAGTGTGAAACCATTGTTCAAGAAAAGTAAGATAATGCAATAACACATTTTTGTATCTTTTACAACAGTTGATGACATTTTGAGGAAGAAAAGCTTGGAGGCGAACGATAGCGACAAAAAAGCTTCACTGGATGCTGGTCCAGATCCCATTGCTCCGATCACACGTAAAGGAGTTTTGACTTCGTTTTTAAATGGAAAACCCATGGAGATACCTGAACAGGACATGGTTATTTACCTACGAATATTTGTTTACGTTATGATTTTTATTAATAATTGTAAAATAATGAATCAAGGACATAAATGATTTCAGCATGGAAAATGTAGGTCTGTCTCGGAATTTGAGAAGCTTAATCGCATTGGAGAAGGTACATATGGTATAGTGTACAGGGCAAGAGATACAAAAAATGAAAAAGTTGTAGCACTTAAAAAAGTGAGGATGGAAAATGAAAAGGATGGGTTTCCAATCAGTAGCCTTAGAGAAATCAATGTTCTCTTGTCCTGCAGACATGAAAATATCGTTCAATTGAAAGAAGTAGTTGTGGGAAGAAGTTTGGAGAGTATATTTCTAGCAATGGAATACTGTGAACAAGATTTAGCTAGCCTGCTTGATAATATGCAGGCACCCTTTTCAGAGAGTCAAGTTAAATGCATTATGTTACAAGTGCTAAAAGGATTGAGATATTTGCATCAGCATTTCATTGTGCACAGGGACTTGAAGGTCTCAAATCTTCTGATGACTGACAAAGGATGTGTAAAAATAGCAGATTTCGGTCTTGCCAGGTGGTTTGGTTTACCATTAAAGCCAATGACACCGAGAGTTGTGACGCTCTGGTACAGAGCTCCAGAATTGCTTTTGCAAGCCAAGACACAAACTACTTCAGTGGATATGTGGGCTGCTGGATGCATCTTGGGTAATTGTTTTATATTGACACTTGATTCGATGATGAAAATAAAAAGTTTCGTTAGACTGAAATAATAATTCTAATTACTATCTTAATTACAGGTGAACTCCTAGCTCACAAACCTTTGCTACCGGGCAAGTCAGAAATTCAACAGTTGGAATTAATAGTAGACTTGTTAGGAACTCCTAGTGAAGCCATCTGGCCTGAATTCAACTCACTGCCGGCACTGCAAAACTTTAGTCTTAAACAACAACCCTACAACAATCTAAAGCAAAAATTCCCATGGTTAAGCGCAGCAGGACTGAGGCTACTGAATTTCCTTTTCATGTACGATCCGAAAAAAAGAGCTACTGCTGAAGAATGTTTGCAAAGCAGTTATTTCAAAGAAGCACCGCTTCGTAAGTGCTATCTACGAATTTGTTCACAACTTTCGACAGACATCTATTGATTCTCGATTTATCTTTACACAGCTTGTGATCCAAAATTGATGCCAACGTTCCCACAGCACAGGAATATGAAAAAGACAGCAGCAAAAGAAGTTCGAGAACAAGATACTTCTGTAGCTGACCAAACAAACAATCTTCCAGCAATATCCGATTTGGTAAGGGTGAAATTTTACAAATTTAATGATACAACGTATGAGTTTTTAAAAATTTTTATTTAACTTAAATATTACAAAATTCATTTGCTTGGAGTAACAATGATTCAACAGTCTTTATTTTAAATACGAAATGAAACATCTGAAACACTTTTTTTTTTTTTTTCAGCTCGGATCCTTAGTCAAAAAACGACGAGTAGAATAAATGGCTCGTAAGCGTAAAGTGTACCAATAAAGTAAGTATGAGAAAAAAAAAGACAAAAAATCTTTCACTTTTTTGCTTTTAATGTAAAACGTATTTTTACCATGAAAAGAAAAATAATGATGATTCTTCATTAACTCAATGCCATTTGTACTATCTTTATATAAAAAAAAAAATATTTATAATTCACATAACTAGAAAAAAATACAAACATAGGATTTGTAAAAAAAAAAATTTCAACATCTAGTCCAAAGTTAATAATTTAAAAGTTAAACCCTTCTTTTTCGTACTTCCTCTCCAATTCGCCCGACGAATCGAATGTAGTCGTCAATCTTTTAAATAGAGCTGATCGCTTCTCCTTCAGGTGCGTAAGAATTTTCTTCGCCATTCTCTTTTGATGGTCGTTGCATTTCGCGCAATTAGTTTTCAATGCGTCGGGCAGGAATTCTAAAAACATACAAGTTTGGAATAAACACAAAATAATTGTATAAAAACATAGATTGTTACATCCATCCGATTTAATGATACGATTTGTCATTGACATTTCATGTTTTTCTCGTTTTTCATTCCGTCGACCGATTCACGCATAAATATACATACATAATAAACGCGTGGGCGACGTGGGATTTCCAGTGTAATATTTAATACACCTGTCAAGTCAAAGGATAAACCACACACGCCCGATAAATATACGTGCGCCAAAAGAGAGTTGCTCAAGCGTTTCTCCGTCCCTCGCCTTTTGGGCTCGGGTACGAGATGGATACGTGTATACGTACGTATATGTATATAATATTGTGTACAACTGCGTGAAAGTTCAAATTGTAGGGCTTACGCAAGATATACGCGTCGCGGCTCCTTAGGAGAGACCGACAGACGCAAATAATATATAATACAGGTTTGTACCTATACGATACGGGTGTAGGCAGGGTACAAGAGACAGAGAAAGTATGAACTCGGCTGTAAATTCAATGCGAGATGATGGTGTTTTAAAACTTTGAAAGGCTGAACGTGCTACATGTGTGTCTCTGCCCGGATGTGCGTCAATTTGAGAGAGTGCCCATGTACACGTAAAGGACTTTTTTCTCTTATTTTCTTCGTTCATTTTGGTTTCGCGTCCGCCCGTGAGGCTGGAGCGTTTGCGCAACGCCTCCGATGAAGGTAACAGGGAGATGAAGTAAAACGTTCGTTCATTTCGGAGCTGAAAGAACTGCCGTGCACGCGTTGTGAAAAAACGATTGATAAACGTAAATGTAGCGCCAATCTCGGTTTACCCATTGTGTAGGAATAGGTACCTTTTGCAATGGGACCTTGATGAAAAAAGAAACTTAGGGAGTTGTCCACGATTATCCAGAGATACTATTAATAACTCATGTGTAAAGTTAAAGTTTGTATTAGAACTACTTGTTCATAAGTTTTTTGTTTTTTAAATATAATTCAAACTGCACACAACGACCGAGTATAATAATTACTCTCTTGAACGTGTATACCTACTTGTAGGTAAAAACAAAAAGAACAAGTTTGATGGAGGATAAAAAAAAAGGAATAAATATATAAATGTATGCTCACTCCTGAGTTCGCGGCCCTCTCTGGTGCAATTCTTATTTTCCACCAAGCAAATGACGTAACTATTCAAAACCCGATCGTTCATCAAAATTGTATCGATGTTGATGTTGTCGTATTTGTTGGGGTACGTTTCGGCAAGGGCGCCAGCGGCGAAGCACAAAAAGACGATCACACAGGCGTTCCTCATCTTCACCAGTAAATTGTCTTGATCGCGAACAAAAAAAAAAAAACAAAAAAAAAAACAATTACAAGTACAAAGGAATTGATAAAAGCTGGTGCGAGGCTTGACGATCGATCGGGTACCGACGCTAGAGTGACCGGGATCGGCGAGCGCAGCCGGCTGTTATATAGCCGGTCGACGATCGGTACTTTTACCCAGTCCACTTTTGTACGTGTACGGATGGACACTACAGTGGCGGAGTTTGTACATATGATATATTATGTACGGGATCCAGAGTGTATCTCTGTGGACTGGGAAGAAAGAAAAAAAAAAAAATGAGAAGTGCTGCTTAGGTCGCTCGTGCGCTATGGGGATGGCTCAATCGGCGATCGATCGGAAGAACCGCAAGAGCGCGCGTGTACGTTTTTTACCTGTACAGGGACGATCTTGGAAAAACCAGACACGTTCACGGGCGATTGCCCGTGGAGTTGCGCGTTGCATAACGCCTGCCGCGACATGGGTACCATAGATTTGCGACTTTGTCCGTTTTTCGGTGTACTTGATCGGTATTTTAAAATTGTTCGCTCTTTTCGACGACCTGCTGTATTCAGATGCCGATTTTTCGCTGTAAGGTTGTTTCGGGAAATAGTTTGGTCATTCAAGTGACATTAATTTTTGAAAAATCTATTTTCTAAGCAAAAAGTTACATTATTGTGTTTTTCATCCAAAAGATTTTGAGCAGCTTTCTTAAAACTTCCTCATTTCACACGTAGACGTTTGACGAATAAGTGGGCAAGTCATGTATGTTCCTTCCGAGAAGGAGATTTAAATTACAAATGACCTCAAGTCGGTCTCCTTCTTCTTCTGGGTATGGAAACAAAAAATTTCTTTTTTTTTTGTTTAACGACCAAATACGCGTCTCGAGCTCCTTTTGTCAAACACGCACACCTCCAATGTTATTATTCTCATCCTGCAAACATAGTCAAGCTCTAAGTTGCTAAAATGTGTACAATCCTTTTGATTTTTCATCGCGAAGTAAAAAAGAACCAGCAGCACATGCTCGAGATGGATGTCGTAGATAAATAAGAATGAAAAAAATCAAAGCCTCCACCATCGGATTTTATTCTACACAACCTACATACATATATTATACCCACGTGTAAGTATAACGTACAGGTAAATCGGACGCGCAACATTTTTCCAACGCGCGTGTTGCTCTTCCGAAGTATCAATCATTCGGTGATTTCGAGATGTTTGCCAGTATAATATATAGTTACACACACCATATGGAGTTTCGGACTGTTTTCCATTTAATATTCTCAGCGGCGTGTCTACCACTTTTTCTTCCCTCCCCCCTATTATCTCTTTCTTGCATGGACTCTCGAACTATTGCTAACGCACGTATACACACGGCAGGGTATACCCAACACGATTACGACCCACTTCATCATCAACGTGCTCCGGGGCCACAGCCGCTCGACGATCACGTAGACATCATCGTCACAATCGATACTACGATGATGTGGTCACAAAGTGGTAGAGTTATACGATCATCGGCCCCATCCTACCTGGATTCCTTCGTGTGTGTCTGTTCTTTTATTTATTTAAATTTTTAATTGCTCTCGTACCGATTACTTTTTTTTTCTTTCAAACGGATTGTACGTAGGTACTCTGAAATCGATCCTTTGGCACATGAGCACTTTATATCGTGAATTAGCAGTTTCGTTCCAAAAGACTCTTTACCTTTATCGACGTTCTTCGAATCAAACATTAATATTCTTTTTTATAAATATATACTTACTTTAATCATGAGGTTTTAATGCTTTTCTTTTGCTTATTTATCTCCTTCAGCTTTGACATATTTGTATATAACGTGTGCTTTTACGTAGAGAGAAAAGACTGAGTAATCGCGTGGTGCCATACGGAGAGGAGCTGTTGTTGGAGCAAAAAATCAAATTTAAAACAAGCGTTCAACTTCAACGCGCCAACTGGTCATGCGGTTATTGAAAAAATTTTCCACACTATTGGCTTTCTTGGGATAATTATATACTATTAACCGATAGTTCTTGGGATGTGTGTGTTTCGTGTTTATTATAATTCATGGACTGACGAAATTTATTAAGTGCGGAAAAACAATTGAGATCTTTGATTGGAAAAATACATAAATAAAAAAACTAAAACCATGAGCTAATACTTTCCCCAACGGTTAAACGTCACACCCAATTGTCATACAGTACATATATTGTATTCTCGCGTTAAGACTCGAAACGAGCGATAAAAAATAATACAATCGAAACTTTCCACATCCACCACTTTGTCAATATACGATCCTTTCATTTACTCATATGATTTGCACCTGATCGTGATCGAAAAAACAATTCCTAATGAAAAAAAAAAAAGACAATGGTCCAATTATTACAGGCGTTTGAATGGAAACGAGCGATTCACTCGAAATGGTACGTGATCCGTGCAAAAAAAACATCACAAAAAAAAAAAAAAAAAATGATTAGCTATATTAAATCGAAATTGCGCGTGTGCCTGATGTTTTATATCTTGCAGAGTCGTCAGACGCTCAGGTTATTAATTTTTGTACGTGCTACAAATACGTATTATGAATTGTATTGGCTGAGTTATTCGATTCGATTGTGTGACTTTTTATTAGTGCACGTATTGGTAGTAGAAGTACAGACCATTCCAAAATGCTGTTGTAGAAACTTGTGTTATACGCTTACATCACGTCTGAAACAAAACAAAAAAAAAAAAAAAAAAAATCAACTTGTTTACTTCCCCCTAGAGAACACATCTGAAACCGCCTTGTGTGCATGGATACGTAATACACATAGATGTAAGTGTATAATTATACCTCTCAGCATATAGGAGAAAGTGATTTGGTTCGGAGGAAGAAGGAGACCAAGAGATAGTTGATAAAAAGAGTTCCTTGTTTCGTTTTTTTCTTTCACGTTATCTGTCTCTTTTTACAACTAACGTTGAGTTCTACACTCTTTGAAAACATTTTATTCGCCCGTGTATGCGAAGTCCAAGGTAAAAATTACATTTAGGACACGGTGCTGATTGGTTTTCATACGATACATCATACCAATAAATTATTACTTATGCTGTGGTGGCAAATGTTGGAATCAATGTGTCAGTACTAATGCATTTTTTTTTTTTTTATTAAAAACAACAAACATACTTGGTTCGGGTGTAAACAAATATGTATAAGATAGGAAGTAGTTTTTTTGCTCGACTCTAAATTTTTGATGAATAAATTATTAACACTGTAAATAATCGTTGTACAATTTTTACCCAACAACACGTTTTGTGGAGATATTTAAACTCTGGAAAAAGCAATTTTCTTTATCTATACGTGGACTTTGGTTGCAGTAAATCTTGCTAATCGTCTCAATCTAGTGTGGATTGTTTAAAATGTGCTTAGCCTTATGTACTGCTAAGCAAAAGTCGAATGGCGAGTAGAACACGATAATCTGTACACTCAATTTTATGGCCTATTCGAAATGATTTTTTTTTTTACTCCCTTAATAAGGAAAATCCACGAGCACAATAAAATAAGATGTGTGTAACATAATTTTAAATCCAATATAGCGATCGTCACAAAATTGGGAATCATATAAATATGTCACTCCGTAACTCTCTTTTAATATTGGGATTGCTTAAATAAAATTACATGACTAGTAGAACATGTTTACATGATAAGTATGAGGGAATATTATTTTAACGAGTTTCATAGATTTATAAACAAATTAAGAGCTTTTAAAAGGCTTCTGATAGGCAATAAAGTAGAAAAATTAATTTTTCAGCTTGTTTTAGGGTTAAAGAATACTTATATGTTTTTCTTTTCTTAATTTTTACGAATTAACGAAAGAGAGAAAAAGAAAATAATTATAATTAACTCTTTTAGTGAAAATTAATTATTTTAAATCACTTTAGCATCGTAGCCATCATCTGTCTATAATTGTCGCATATTACTATAACAATTTCGTTAATTACGATATTTATTACCCCACAAGTATTAATAGCTTGATTATGATGTAAGCATATTTGCGGTCAAAGATTGTAATGTTTAATAAAATGGTCAAAACATCAATTACTGGGGAGTACACTTTTTTTTATGCTCTACATATAAGTATATACGTGCCGCGTTCACCGATGTGATTCATCAATATACGTCATAATATCATAGCTTGTTTTCTTTGGCTGTCCGATTTTTAGGCTGATCTGGAATACATTTTTTTAATCGCCTGAAACTCGTTCGGATAGTGCTGCTTCATAAAACTGGCGATTTGGTTGGCTTGCTGTCGCTGCTGGGGCGAGCAACGTCGACAATCGTTGTTTATGAGCTCCGGTAGCATTCCTGTTGGATGTTTTATTTATTTTATTTCTTAATTCTCTTGGAACGTTGGTTGTAAGCTTAAACGCAAAATAATGGCAAAACCTGTATTTGTGCACCAATATTTACATCTTTACCGAAAAATTAATTTTATTCTTTCTCAGATGGTTCTAATCGAAATTCACAATCATTGTTCATATTGATTCATGCGTGAAAATTAATTTACGCGCTCAAAATCCCCAAAGCCTTATTAAGATTAATCCGGAAAATGGCCACGATACGTTTTAATCTCGACAAAAACAAAATAAAAATCCACTCACCCGCGGTTCGCTTAAGATCAATAAAAAAACTAATCGTAAATACCAAAAATTATTCCTTACAACTACAAAATTCATAGCAAATGATTTTATTCGTGTATAGTAATATTTTATCATTGGAATTCCCAAAAATGTACATAGGGCATCTCAAAGCTGTAGAAATCTTGTTAAGTTAATAAAAAAAAAAAAAAAAAAAAAAGATATTCACATCGACCTGTAAGTACATACGCCACCAACTGACATTCAAACCTTTAATATGAAAAAAATGCACTCTTACTCTGGAGCATCCTGCCAATGACATCGCAAGGCCCTGTCTTGAGGACGCACCGCAGCTCCCGATCGACGATCTGATTGTTCTGCAGCAGATTCGTGATATCCTGAGCACCTGCAGTGGCCAAAATCACCAAGAGCACCAGCGCCAGCAGAGCAGACGTCGTATTCCTCGTCGCCATGATTTTATACGTCTTCCTTTGTTTTAAGTCGTTCTTTTATTTGGAAAAAAAAAAAAAAAAACAGCCCTTCGAAGAAAATGTCAAAACGGATCGGCAACCAAATCGGCACAGGCGGCAATACCGCCGAGTCGGCCAGCCCGAGTTCCTTTTAATGGTCCTAGCGATTGTTCAGCTCTCCCCTCAGCCCCGCGTCATCTAGTATTAACGTCAACTATTCCAATCGCGCTCGTACTTAAGTGTAAATGTTTATAACACGTGCAGCTGTGCACGTGGGTGTATGTATACATGTATATTTGAAATGCTGATTGAGGTTTGAGTATATCTGTGATTTCTCGCTTGTATAATTCGTGTATATTGGCTTTTCCGACTAATTTACAGAAACAATGATTACTTCGTGGATGATCGTTATTTTTTTATCGAATAGATTTGATTGGGCACCGCACCGGGGAAATACCCGAGAGAAATTCGCAATGTCTTATTAATTACGTCGTTGTGCAACAAAAAATCATTATGAAAAAAAAAAACCGCTTGGTCATTTCATTTTTGCATGAATGGCCATTTATTCCAGCATTGTGTATACGCGCGTGTAGGGCGATTGCAGATAAGCGGTACGCAGTACATGCCAACCAAGAGAGTAATATGTTTTTGGAAAGACATTCTGGATTGTTGCGGATTTTCTTTGCAGATTTCCGAATTGGAAGTAAGACTTTTAAATAATTTGGAGAGCTACAACGAGAATAAACAGTTAAGTAACAGAACGTGTCAAGCTCATATTACGTCTGTTACTCTAAATTTTTACGTGTTGTCGAATTGTTGCTATACACGTGCAATATAATTTATATTGTTGATGACAGTAAGTACAATGTTGAAAAATTTTTTTAATTTTTACGTTTCAGAGTTTGATGTCAAATTTCTAATAAAGGGAACTTTTGTAACCCTAACAACATAAGAAAACAATGATACTTCTTGAAAGAGTCTATAGAAAAAATTTCCTAACAATTTTTTAGTCATATTTTTGAAATGACTCATATCAGCTTATGCCATGTATTCCAAGTATCAGCCTTACGATTATTAGCCGAACTAGTGTAATTTTCTTTTTTAATTTAAAAACGATTGAATGGCTGGGATAAAAAATTTTAGCAAAAAAAAAAAAAAAAAAAAACCGGACTCTATTACTCTTGTGTCGAGTGTATATTCACGTGTACATATTTTTATAGTATACATTTATTCAACAATATTTGATAGAAAAGGTAGTACAAAAAATTTCATAACATATGTTTAATGTATTATTGATTGTTCAGGCTTAATTTTTAAACTGCAACACATTTTTATACACAACGCGATAAAAGAACCGAGAGCCTGCTGCTTACAGCTGTTCCACAACAGCTGTACGGAAAAGTTGTTTCCCGATTAAGTATATTTCCAATAATCATTAGAAGTCCGATAATCTCATTATGACATTATATACCCTATATTCGGATGATCGATCCAATATATAATCCTTTAATACTATACTGGCTGTGGCTGTATTCCACGAATGCTGCCAGCAGTTAAATTACGTAGGTCGTGGTACTGCCGCATGGTTACAGCCTCTGATTGTATCATTCTGGTAAAGAGAGCACGGTATAAAATATACGTGAAGTTATGTGAAGTAATTATAGTAATCACTTCCGAGTAATGCCATATGGTCGATTTTATTAAAACATATAAGTAGAATATCTATACTTTGGAAATAAAATTTCGGGTAAAAGATAGATTGTAAACTTGCCGCAAACAGCACAAACAACGTTTGTTATATATTTTGTATCTATGAGATCAGTTGCGGCTGGTTTATAATTGACAAAATAGCTCTAGTGTGAGTTATAGTAATAATTATTTGGATCAGCGCCATCTAGCGTTGGGGATTTTTGAACTAAAAAGTGGCCCTAAACTTTTGACCCACAGCATTAGCGCTTAGAGCCATTTAGCCAATTATAAACCAGCCGCAACTCATCTAGTAGCTATTAAATAAAAAAATAACAGTACATGTGTTTTTGGCGGCAAGTTATCAATCTATTTTTTACCAAAAATTGGCTTCCTAAGTATTTCTATTTTTTAAGTTAATTTTCGTGTAAAAGATAGATTGTTAACTTGCCGCCAAAAACACATGTATCGTTATTTTTCTATTTTATAGCTACAAAATGAGTTGCGGCTGGTTTATAAAAGGTTAAATGGCTCTAAGCGCTAAAGCACCGACTCAGAATTTTAGTGGCCACTTTTGGCGAAAAAAAAAATACCGCTAGATGGCGCTGATCCAAATAATTACTACAACTTACAGTACAGTCATGTAATCGATTATAAACCAGCCGCAACTAATTTTATAGATATAAAATAAAAAGTTGACGTTGTCTGTGCTATTTGCGGTAATTTATCTTTTATCTGAAATTATATACATACATAAATTGTAGATCTAGTGATTTACTTCTGGCGGAAATCTCTAGAATCTAGGGTTTTATTCAAGACGGATCCCCTAGAGAATAGTTTGTGTCAGTCCGCGAAATCCGCAACGCTAGATGGCGCTGATCGAGACAGCCCGGTGCCCCGGTGCTTTAAAATTTTTGGAGCGAATTTCGCTCTCATAATAATAATATATTAGCTGCATGATGAGCTGCATTTAACAAAAGTAAGCCATACCTACCTACCTACTTTAATAACGGGCGTTAATAGTTTGTTTATAAATTTTGAAAACTGTAAGTCAAATGAAAGTGTATAAATTAAGTTTATATATCTAAACCTGTGCTTATCATACAGATATCAAAATTGAAGGGTTTTCTTGCGTATAAAAAATTGCTATTGTCGTACGTCACGCCAGTCATATTATAACCTCGACACGATGTCCATGGAAAATAACGGCGTGAAACCGATATTTCGCGAATTAAAAGCAGATGATCCTGAACCAGAAACTACCGCAATCGAAAGTCTGTGTATGAACTGCGCAAAAAATGTACGTACACGTCGTTTGGAAAATTTTTTGCAGAACGTATTGTTTACGTATATTTTCCAATGTACTTGCAGGGTGTCACAAGAATATTTCTCACTAAAATTCCTTTTTACAAGGATATTATGTTAATGTCATTCGAGTGTAAACATTGTGGTTACCAGAACAACGAGGTACAGAATGCAGGCAAAATTGAAGAAAAAGGTGTCAAAATCACACTAACGATTGCCTCAAAAGCCGATTTGAATCGACAAATTGTGAAATCTGACTATACCAGTGTTTGCATACCACATTTGGACTTTGAAATACCTTCTCAATCTCAAAAAGGAGGTAAGATTATAATTTTTTTTTTTAGTTAAAACTAATAACTGGTACAAATTGAATAAATGATTTATACAATGGGTAGAAGTGACCACAGTGGAAGGTATCATTGACCGTAGTATTGCTGGGTTGGAACAAGATCAAGATAGGCGTAGAGTTGAAGCTTCAGAAACTGCTGAACAGATAGACCAGTTTATAAATAAATTGAAGGCACTTAAAGAGGTTGAAGAAACGTATACGATAATTTTTGAGGATGTGTCTGGTAATACAAGTGTTCAAAATCCAAGAGCACCTCAAAAAGATGAAGGGTGCAAGGTGCACTATTTTAAAAGAACAACACAACAGAATCACATCTTGGGCATTTATGAGGAAAATGAAGATACACTCTTGCAGCCAATTAACGAGGAGGAGTATTCTTTGGAAGAAATCGAGGGAGAAGTTATGACTTTCCCAACAAATTGTCCAGAATGTAACAGTCCTTGTCAAACAAATATGAAAATGACTAGTGGGTATATTTTTTATTTCTTTACTTCTCGGTTTCTTTTAAAAATGCTAACATTGAATATCATCCACAGAAATTCCTTATTTTAAGGAAGTGGTCATCATGGCGACAGTTTGCGACGTTTGTGGACACAAAACCAATGAGGTGAAGAGTGGTAGTGGCATTGAACCACAAGGTGTTAAAATAGAAATCACAGTAACTGGCAAAGAAGATTTTAGCAGAGATCTGTTGAAATCCGAGACCTGTTACATGAAAGTGCCTGAACTAGATTTGGAAGTGGGGCCAATGACGTTAGGTGGACGTTTTAGCACAGTCGAAGGAATCATAAGTGCAGTCAGAGATCAGCTAGCCAATTCAACTGCCTTGACAGGAGACAGTGTTGACCCAGAAATAGCTACAAAGATGAAAAACTTCATTGACCAACTTGATCAAGTTTTACAAGGAAAAAAGCAGGTTACTCTGGTTCTTGATGATCCAGCTGGAAATAGTTATATACAGAGTTTGACGGATAATGGAACTGATGACAGATTGAAAATAACGAAATACGAGCGTACTTTTGAACAGAACGACGAACTTGGACTTAATGACATGAAAGTTGAGAATTATTAGAGTTTACCGTTATATTGTACTATTTTTATAAATATTTTCAAAAGTTTATGACGTGTTTTTTATTTACTGTTTATTTTTATAATTTATGAAAATTCTAAATTTTCTCGTCTTCATCCGCTGAGACCCTAAAAATGAGTATCATCATTAAGTTAAAATTAAAAATAAAAAACCTTAAAAAATTTTTAATACTCACACAACAGGGACAGAATCTAATTTTTTTAAGTTAGGCAGTTTTTTCGTAGCGCTAGTACGCCAAACGTCTGGATCCATGTTTTCACACAAAGGATTATTAACAAAGAGTAAATCTTGCAAATTAGGTATTTCTTGCAATCTATTGAATTCTGACCAATCTTTGACTAAATTATTTCCCATGTACAGCACTTTCAAAGCTTTCAGTGCACTCACACCTTTAATTTTTTCGATCAAGTTGTAAGAAATCCAAAGCTCTTCCAAGTGATCACCAACGGCCTCCAATCCAGAAAATGTTTTTATGTTATTTCGGCTCAGTGATAAGATCTTCAAATTTTTCAAAGCATTTATGCCGGATATTTTCTCAATCATGTTCGTTGACAATGATAACTTCCTAGTTAAGAAAGAGAAAACTTATAAAACGTAAATTTATTAAGCATAACATATTTCGAAGTAAAATTGGATCATCTGTTAACTCGACTTTTTCCAAGGTTGATAAACTGTTGTCCATTTTTTCAATTGGTAGCCACTGAAAGCTTAAAACGATTTCTTTTTCTTCCCTCGCAGATTTTCCATTTTTTTCTTCCCATTTTTGGATTGCTTCTTTGCAAGTAGTTGGTTTAGCCTAAAATTTAGTTTTTTTGCTTTGAAGTATTAACAATCCTAATTTGTCAAAATGAGTGATTTATTTACCATGTCTAGTATTTAAGAAAATAAAACTACAACGTATGAAAAAAGTATAAGAAAAAATAATAGAGTTGAAAAAATCCTGGATTAGTTTTTGAAAAATTTGACGTCTGCTTTATGTTTAAATCAGCACAATATTTTTTGACGCAGATGTTTTTCAATTGTTTTTTTTTTTTTTNATTTTTGGGATGATCGATTCCGCAGCAGTGCGGATTTTGTAAGGTTTATATTTTATTATCTTTTACGGGCAATACACCGAAACGAGAAAAAGTATAATTAATTGAAACGCATGCACGCAAGAAGTAGAGTGTTGTGCACGATGCGACGATTTCTCAATTTTGCGGGTAAAAGGTGAGGAAAAAAAAAAAAAATGAAGTTTAAGGTGGTTTGGGTTGGTGGTTATTTTTTTTTTTTTTTTTTTTTTTTTTTTTTTTTTTTTTTTTTTCTGTTAAAATTAAGTAAATGTACGAGTCAAGTAAAATAAAAAAATTTGAATAACAACTACAAAATAATGAAATAGACATATTTATCTAAAGTGATAAAAAATTGACATGCAATGAGATTTTTATTTTAATTCTTCGTAATGTTTATTCAACAAATTACAAACAGAAACTGTATTTTTTTTTCGGTTCTGTAATGTCCTAATACTGCAGTCTTATGCATGTACAAAAGAAAAATTACAGTGTTTAAAACGTTGCTTTCTCTTTTATTGTTTTCTTCAAACGCTATGTGCATCATGTAAACGTTTCACAAGAGTATTTGCACGCCCAGCATCGATCAAAATTTTATGTTACAAAAAAAGAACTAAAAGTTGGCCTTAATAATAAAATAATATGAATAGTAGTCAATAATAATAATGTAATATAATCATAGTTATTTATAAATCAACGTCTTCATCGTTACATTTCGTACAAATTCCATGCAAAAGGTCTCTATATCACTACATTTACAGGGGCATTTTAGGATGAAAGGTTGTGTCTAGTTTTTTTTTATTTTCACAATACATATGTGTGTAGGAGATTACTCTATCATAAGTCTACGTATTTTATAACAAAATGTTTAGGTTAAGACTGTATACATATTGCTTATTGCCAAATAATTAAAAAAAGTTATTTTCTCGAGAAGTCTTTACTTTACAGTATTTACAACAGCAGAAATTAACACTTGTATTCGATTAATATTTCATCTTCAATTATTTTATTCTTTTTTTTGGCAAAAATACGAGCAATCTCGTCTTCCCGGTTAAAAACGCAAATACAACTGTTACAAAATCACAGGCGACAATGTGTAAGGGTCCTCTTAATTGTGTTCGAATGTATTAATTTAAAGTTGTTTTTTTTTTTTAAAGAAGAACTAAAGAATAGAGCAGGTAGTTTGGTTTTATTATTCCTCAATTAAAACTAATTTTTTTAAGACGATTATTTTTTAATAGCCACAAATACACAATTTAGTCATTATTATAGTCATTATACTCTGATTCACTGTCTCTATGAACAAATTAAGGAACAGTCAATCATTTATAAGGAGTGATCGAACACAGATATATGCTTTTATGAAGATGATGATTCCTCCAGCTTATTTGTATTTGCAAGTCTTTGATTATGTTTCTCGGTAGATTTGAAAAAAGGCGAGTATACGCAATTTTGTCGTCGCAAGACTTTGCCCAAGTCGTAAAACCAGTTAAAATAAGATCGTGAAATTTCGATTTTGTTTTACCATTTCTTTCCGTTTATACGCTGTAATTTCAACTTAACGTAACTACAAATAATAAATGTTCAGCAAACAATCACGAAAAAATTAATATTCAAAATTTTTCATACCCAGATTCAATTCAAAATATTATCGTTTTTTTTTTAAAGTCTATTATTCTTACTTCAGTTTTAACAATATGTACCTATTTGTAATATTAACAAAACAGCCTGCCAGCAGCGCAAATCTTTTTGGCCATAACAATTTCTCGCAAGACATTTTTCAATACAGTACGCTAAAGCGAGCCTTTTTAATCCTCCGAAAATCTAATCAGAAATTTCTGATAAAAATTTTTAATTATTATTTAAGCTGTCGACGGAGAAGTGATCCTTACAAGAGAAACAAAACTCTCGCAGATGACAACAAGCACTTTTATTTTATACACACGGAGGCACAACGGATATAACGTTTATTACAAAGTTTACCGCTTGGTTACAATTTTCTTATTAGATTGGAACAGTAACACAAGCTAATGAATATATAATATACGTAAACGACTGGCGTTCTTCACATAAGTTTTTTTTTATCGTACACAGTTGTCATGTTTTATTTAAAATTCAAAAACAAAATAACGTGTGACAGCTTCTCGTTTATCCTCTTTTTCTTCCTAATCAAAGCGAAGCGTATTTTATTTGTTACATCATGTATTTATTTTTGTACAAAAAAACTCACTCAACAAAGACATTCATTTTCCGTATTCCAAAGATACGTGCATGCACACACTTGAGTAAAAATCATAGTATTGCAACGTGCTTGTTCCATTTTTCAAAGGAGAGCAGAGAACTGAGCCAGTTTAAAAAATTGAAAAATCGTGTATATTTATACAATTTAACCATCATACCTCTCCATTCTTACTCGTTATCTTATTTATCATTAAACTAACAACCGTTTACGCGCGACATTTTCCGTGTTGACGGAAAATGAGAGAGAGAGAGAGAAAGGGGGCGGGGGGAGGGAATGGGGCTTAAACTTATCTTGCTCGCGTATAGTGGTTCGCTCGATCGGTGTTTGTAATTTTTTTTTTTTTTTTTTTTTCACACTATTTTCGCGTTAGAAAAGAAAAAACTAACTCCGAACCTCGTTGCTGCGTACAGAGAGGTGAGGCAGGGACTAGCAGTTGTTGGGGTCGGGCGGTGTGACAAGGTACTCGTCCGCTCGCTTGTGATCGGAGAGCGCTCGAATCGTGTACGAGTCCTGAGGCAGCTCGCTTTTCCTCCGCAATAACTGTTTCACCTTATTCGAGGCGTTTGGCGGTGCTTTTTTCAACTAAACACAAATTGAAAAAAATTGATGATTGTGATTCAGCCAATTTTCATCAATATGATTTGATGATAGAGCATGTCAATGATACATGTCAACGGCACTCACGTCGTTGGGCTTTACTTCGATTTTGTCCCCCGACAACGAAAGCTTTTCGTTACTTTCCCCGTCCTCTTCGTTCGTAGCAATACTATTACTGTTCTCGCTCAGTGGCGTTATGAACGGATTATAATTATTTTGCACCGAGCTGCCCTTGTTCGCTAACGTAGGGTGCCTCGAAGCCAGCGACTCGACCTTAGTCCAAGCCTCATCCCTGTCTTTCAACATTTTTCTCTCCTTTGCTCGATCCTAAAAACAAAACAAAAAAGTTTTTGACACATGTTATTTAGATGCGCGAACTTAATAATACAAAGAAATCATGGTTTTCGCCAACCTGCTGATACTGCTGTGTACATTCGTCAAACAGCTTTTGATTCATTTCCATAAAGAGTTTGAGCGCGTTGTAAATTAAACCATGTATCGTCTTGTTCCAGTGATTCCGCGAGTTTCTGTACAACGCTGGATACATGATGGGCAAAATAGCAGCGTAGTTGTCCGATATCAGCGACATTATGTACTCGTTGTTCCAGTAATAGAGAGCCCTCTCTGCCACCTGCGTCAGAACAAAGCATGTTTGAGGCTTCGTTTGGAAAAGCAAGAGGAAAAAAACAAACAATCAAGGTTTGAAGACTTACTTGAAAGTGCGGCGAGGAAACGCACTTGGCGAGCTGCCTGAAGAGCGGATCCATGACCTTTTGGAACTCGGCGGGCTCGATGACATCGAGAATCTCTTCGAGCTCGTTCAAAAACATCACTTCCTTCGGCGAGTGCGTCTTCGGCCAGAACTTGAGGAGATTCTTGATCACCGACTCCGTGAGCGAGGCGTCCTTCTCGAGGAACTGTACGACGCAGTAGGCCAACTGCGGGTGATAGACCGCCAGTGATTTCGCCTTGTGCAGGGGCATCAGTACTTTTAGCAGGAAAATCTTGTGCTCGTCCTTCAGGGGCAAGGCGAAACCATTGATGATACTGCGGAGGGGGTAGGAAAGAGGAGAAGGATGATTAACACGAATGAATTTGACCAAAGAGAGAGAGTAAGGAGATAAATAAAAGCTATGGTATACAAACCTGCCGAGAATCTCAAGCAACTCAGCAATGCCGTTGTGGTGCTCGGTCTCGTAGATGAACCGATAAAACACGTTGTTGATCGACTTGCGTATGTAAGCTCGGAGCCCGAGGAACTTGCCGTAAATCCTGTGCAGCGTTGTCTTGAGGAAATCGCGCTCGCGCGGATCTTCCGAGTCGAAGAGCTCGAGCAGGTTGAGCACGAACTTGTGGTCGATGTAGCGCTTGGCTATCGACGGCTGGAAGTCCGGCGACTCCAGCAACTGGAGGAAGAACTCGTAGACGATCTGCAGATGGGGCCAGGCGACCTCAAGCGCGGGCTCGTCTTCTTCCGGGTCGAACTCGGCGCCGTTCGGGTTTGACGACGGCGGCAGAGTCCGGAACAGGTTTACGGCAAACTGTCGATCGGGAGTTTCGTCGTCAAACAGATTTTTTTTTTTTTTTCACCATTAGGATACGCGCAAAAATGGCTTTGGCCAAAAAAATTGTTACAGGTCACAGACTACTGTCGAATACAAAGTTCTTCATTTTTGGGATGATCGATTCCGCAGCAGTGCGGATTTTGTAAGGTTTATATTTTATTATCTTTTACGGGCAATACACCGAAACGAGAAAAAGTATAATTAATTGAAACGCATGCACGCAAGAAGTAGAGTGTTGTGCACGATGCGACGATTTCTCAATTTTGCGGGTAAAAGGTGAGGAAAAAAAAAAAAAAAAAAAAAATTGAATCTCAAGTTGCACGCCCCATCGACGTGTACGTGCACATACAACAGCACGGGATTTAAAAATAATTCGCCCGCGGACAGGCGGGAAATATAAAATACGTACACACACGCACACGTGGCTTATCGATTCACCTTGGCGCAGCAGCCGCGGCTAGATATTTATTTTAAAAATAGCGCATATTTGATCATCTGGAGCAGCGCGCGCGATAATGATTATCATCATCATCTTTCTCGGCAAATAAAATCAATAGGCTCCTTCCGGGGAATATAATCAAACCCAGTGGCTTGTTTCGGCATATTTTTCGTGATTCCTTCGGGGAAAAAAAAAATCAAATAAAAAAAACAAGTAGCCGTAATAAAATTGAAATTAATAGGGTGTAGAAACAATTCAACGCAAATAAGTCTAGATTAGGCTCGATCGTATCGAAATAACGTTATTTCCGTCAACAAGTTCAGCAACAACGACAACAGCACGTGTATATAATATAGTATAGCATACGAGGAAAACCCGAGGAATTGGATACAAATGTATAGGTAAACACAATAGAGACGCACCATACTGACGGCCTCGGGATATATGGCCTCGGTGATGACGTTCTTGTTCTTGGACACGTACTCGACCATCTCGTACAGGGTGGTACGCTTCACTTCCTTCCATGGTAGGTCCGAGAGCGGGTCGAACTCAAAGTCAAAGAGGACGCAGCACTGGCGCAGCTTTTGGATGAACAGCTCTTCTTGCTCCCCCTCCGGGACTTCTGTGGACACAAACAACGGTTTTACACTTTCATGGTCTTTCTCCCTCTCTCTTTCTGTGCCCCTCCACCATACAACGTATAGAGTCTTGGTGTTTTATTTTTTTTAAAAGGGCCGAGACAAATTGCTCGTCGTGGGAGGGAAAAAAAAAAACAATGTTTAGTAGTATGTGTACACGGGACAAAGCTGAAAATAGATTTCCATTTTGGGGGGGGCGTCGTGATAAAGAGATCGGGTGGCTGTTTGTCAGGGGCGGAAGTATATATAGGTGAGGCACACCTTTCAACGTAATTGAAACCTTATTTGTACCGGTTACACGCGCTGAACGAATTTTCAATCAGTAGATACAGCCAGAATAGATCGGACATGCCTGTCTCTTGTCGTAACTTGAGAGACATACAGTGCATCTGCATCGGTATCCCAACAGCCAAAACCAATGAAGAAAAACAAACAAACCACTCAGTACAGGTAAATCGATACGAGCCAATAAAAACGCAAACGGTCATTTTTACTGATTAATCGAGCGAAACCTTGAACTCTCTCTATCTCTCGTCTACTCGGGTGTTTTACATTGAATGAACGAACGAGTCCATATACATTATAAATATGTAGGTATGATGCTTCATTGTCAACGTCTCCGATGGGATAAACGTAAGTACATCGTTGCTTTTGTTGACTTTAGACGCGGTTATTTTTTAAAAATCAAGAGACCCGCGCCACCAGATACATAGTGTGTCTTATATCCATCAATGTATTTGTGCGCCTCTGAAACGAAATATAAACAAGCATTGCACCGCTAGCGAGTACCAACTCTGTGTACATATTTATACTTAACCAATCTAAGTCATATGTAAAGTTGAGAGAGTGCCTATCTATCTTTTCTGCCTTTGGCGCATATAAAAATAGCAGTTTGCGTAATCGCGCGCGCGTGTTGTTCGCGATTAAGCCGGACGCGTAAAATTCATTACCGATGGGGTGCAATTTCAAATAAATAGCTATATTATTTACACGCGACTTTGCAAAATTCTTTTTTTTTTTTTTTTTTAATTTTTACATATTTCTACGTGGTCTAATGATTCAATTAAACAAATTTCCCTTGCTGTACTGTTCTCCCTTCAAAAGGACTTTTTTTGTGGGTAGAGAATGCAATTTTCTTCTTTTAATTCAGCATGGAAAAAAAAAAACATCCACTTCCGAGGTACAGTAGGCTTTTCCGCATACGTATCCAACAGGGCATCGATATACCTATACAGCCAACATATACATAGCCCATCGAACTCGACTCGGTCAAATCAGCGAACAGGTATAAAATACATGACAAAAGCGAACAAGGAGAGAGAAAGAGGGAGATAGCACGAGTGCACACATCGGTGCATCAATCGTTAGAGCTCGGGAAAATTCAGTCCCGGCAGTCAATGCACCCGCTCTCTCTCTCTCTTTTCCTTCATCGCCACCCCCGCGCTCTCTCATGTACAGGTATACACGTGTGTACAGCCACTCGCACAGCGGGTCCACTGTCTCTCTCTCTCTCTCTCTCTCTCTCTCTCTCTCTCTCTCTGAAAGTAAAAGACTTTTACCGACGAGAAGGGGCTGTAGGGGCTGATACTGTGTCGCCGAGGCAGAGCTCGAGTAGAACTTGCCGAGCTGGTGGTATCCGTCGTCATCGTCATCGTCTTCATTGTTATTGTTGTTATTGTTGTTGTTGTTGTTGTTGTTGTTGTTGCTGTTGTTGTTGTTGCCGCTGTCGTTGCTGCCGGCACCGGCGTTGTTGGCTTCGTTGGCCGCGTACGCCAGGCCCTGGTGAAAACTCGGGCTCTTGGGTATACCCGTGCCCAGGGACGGTCCCACGTTCGTCACGTGCACCATCTTCTTTCCCTCGTACCTGCCCCCGGTGACGCCGTTCTCCTCCCCCTCCTCCCTCTTGCTGTTCCTCCTCTCCGTGTTAGCTCGCCCCCCGGTGCCGTCCAGTATATATATATACGCTAACTAGCTGGGCCCTCTCTCCTCTCCCCTCCGCACTCAACCGAGGCAACTTGGCTGCCGACGAGGCCACAGGGTCAACACCACAACCACCCCTACGTCTATATATACACGGCACACTCGACTCGTCCGATATTCCTCCCTCCGGCACACTCTCCTACGTAATATATATTATATATATATATTATCNCTGATTGTCAGGTAGGAAAATATCTCCTCGAGGAGTATGTCGGGCAACTGATCCCAATCACTGTATGACTTTCCTACCTTGTCGTCCTCGTCGTCTTCCTCCAGATCGATGTACAGAGCTGGAAAAACAAAAATCGTTAAGCTGATCCAAAAAAACTTGCTAATTGTCACAAGCACCAAAACGCCGAATATATAAATAACAAGTTTAAATTCGAAGTTCTATTAGTTCCAAAAAGCTCATTAAAAAAACTCGCGAGGGAGTGCTTCTGTTTGTGTCTATAAATATGTTTTGGCTCCTAACTATTGACGTGTAAAAAAAAAAAAAAAAAAAAAACTTGAGCTCAATCAGCTAAACGAAACGACAGCGAGCGAGTCCTTTTAAAATAGGTATCACCCACTTGTTCGGGAAGGAGGTGATTCTCTGGCGATGCGCTCCAACTCGTGCGGCCGGCGCGCGGTTAATAAACGGGAGCAGGAGAGCCGAGCCGAGCCGGAGCCAATGTCTACCCCCCCCCCTCGTACCCGTGTCGTGTGTGTGGGTATATACATTTGCGTACAGCCCCCGCCATCAGCGGCTATACACTCTCTTGGCGAGCGAGACAGCTCGGGGCGCTCGCATCACCCTACCCACCTACCGATGTACGGACCAAGCTGTACGTACACCCATACCTGTGTACACAATTATATAAGGGTATACCTACCCGGTGGAACAGTTGGAGCGCAGGCGCGCGACCCCTCCGGCGAGGAAGCCGGAGCAATCGATAGGTCGACCCTTGCTTGTGTGTACGTCCCGTGTACACGCATATACCTGCGTATGTACATAGCACATGTCATGGATATACGTGCGCGAGAGAGGAGAGGCAGAGCTGCTTCCGGGGGGGGAGGAGGAGGTCGAGGGTGCAGCATCCACTCCCTTTCTTTGTACGTGAGGGTGTTCGAAGGTACACATAATGGGTACACAATGTGCGAAACGCACAGAGATCGAGCCCCGGCTTGTTTTTTTCATTAATTATATAAACTCTAGGTCTCTCTCTCTTCCTCCATCTCCCTCTTATTCTCTCTTCTGCGTGGTTTTTGTGCAAAGTGTATGCAGGTACTCGGGGCATTTTCAAAGGAGGCCACTTTTTTCTTTTTATTGTTTTTTCGAGGGAGGAAAAAAAAGGGGGGGGCTTGGCATCTGGTTGCAATTTCCGATGAAAAGGTAACGATGCTCGTGGGGGTTGTTATTCAAACAGGGAAGGAAAGACCGGCATCTGATTTTTGCCAGACGAGTCGAGGGGTAAGTTACACATGTTATATACATTATTCAATCGCATTTGGTGGATTCGCGTGATTGATCCACACGTCTTGTACGAATCGCCGTGAAGTAAATAGGGGATGGACTCGAGATTGCCAATTTACAATCGCATCGTGACATATTTATTTGTAACATGGATGGATTTACAAAGTGCTGTTGACGATAAAAGGCCATTTGTTTATTTATTTATTCACCACATCAAACGTACGTGCCACCGTGCACATCTAGAAGCCCAACCTTTTTTTTATCCACCCTCTCGGAATTCCACTGTTGTATACAGCGAGATCGTCGAACGACTCCATTTCGCAAAGGAATTCGAAATCACCGATTCCGTATATACAAAGGAAATCCTTTTCACGTGGGATCGCAGCCCGTCGTCGAGGCACTTTCGCCGTCCATAGTTCCGGGGGGAGGGTTGGGGGTGCCGGGTGGTAATGGGAAATAAAAAGAAAACGAGGCAAGGAAAAGCGCTCCCATAACCGTATCAAGCCATACAGAGTTTGGAAAAAGTTTTCGTGTCCACGATATACTTATTCGGTAAGTAGTAGTATCAGCAGCGCCACTGGGGAGGAGGAGGAGAAGAGAAAAACAACGAGGGTTGTATTAGCACGTGCCTCTTTCTTTCTTTTGTCTCTTTAGCACGTGGTATACGTTTGTACTTGCGCATACAGAGGGAAACAAAGCGACGAGGGTGAGTTGAATACGTATGTGCAGTCGTAAAACGTATACTAGTGAGTCACGGGGGCAAAGTGCCAATAGGCAGGGCAACGAGGGCTATGAAATTTTCGGCATTTAAAGAAAGAGGAGGAAGAGGCAATTTACCTCCCGAGTCCCTTGAGCACTTGATGAATCATGCGTACAGGCGGGTATTGCTAGAGTGTGTGTGTGTGCCTCCTTCACCCTCAGGCTTTGCCTTTTCTTTTTCTGTCTTCGTGCCGGGACGTCATGTCTTGTATTCTTTTTTTTTTGGGGGGGGGAAGGGTTATAATGTAGCGCGGAGAGACGATGGGATACATTTGCCGTACTTTGGCACGTGTGAAAAGAAATGAGCAAAGCCGGCCTTTCGTACGTAAGAATAAGGGCAGTTTTCTTCTTTACGTCACTTTTTATGCTTATCTCTCGTACTTGTACCATACCAAAGTGTGCAGATGTTTTTTTTTTCGTGACTAAAATCTTCGTTGATAAGCACATCTTTTTATCGATACCTATCATGTAATCTGCATTACTGTTTTTTTTTTTTTTTTTTTTTAATGACATTTGAAGACAATTTTTATAGAAAAGGAAAAAGGAAATTTTATCGCTTCGTCGTTGAATCATGACTTTAAACTTTCTCATCAATTTTGTCGAAATTTTGAAAAAACTGTCACGCATTTTTATCGATAGCTATATTGAAAATTGCTCACATAGTTTGTTTGGAAAATTCGACTTTCAAAGGTGAAATAAAATTTTCCGAATTTGTAGATTGGTTAAGGATTAAGATTTTGTTTATATTTATTTTTGAGCGGCGTTGGCTCAGTGGTAAGCGTGCTTGCTACTGATACAACGCTGTTCTAGGGGTCGTGGGTTCGATTCCCGGTGAGTGCAGATTTTTTCAAAAACTGTTTTCACCGGAAAAAGTTCCTATGTAACCCCGGCTGTTTCGGGGCGGGTTTTTCCGTGGAA